TATTTATATGTATGGATGTGATACCCCTCGGATCCGAGACACGGGTTGATTAGGCCCAGGCCCAAACCCGAGGGATATCAAACAATTAATACATTATAACGAACACAGATTACAAAAGAAATAAAAATTAAGTTTTAAAAGCTGGAAGAAACTAAATTATAAAATCCTTTAATAATTAAATACTTAATTCTGATAATCCAAAACTCCATAATTTAAACAACTCGGGAATCCATCTCCCGTGGACCCTTAATAAAATCCCAAATTGAAATGAAAGTAAACTATTATCTGGAAAAAAGTCCTACATCGCTGGTAGAGTGGAAGATCGTCTCTGCTTAGCACGAACAAGCTCAAGCCTGGTATTGACGTACACCTAAAAAATAGAAGTGGTTCAGGCCTACGAACAAGTTCTATCCTACTACAATCCAAACAGAGACTTGATACTCATGTACATACTAAATAGTTCAATAATAACTAATACTCCATACATAAATATATCCATACTACTGGACTCTCGCTAGACTATGAAGAGAGTCTCAACCTGGATAGAAGGCATCACACAATACGCACCTGAGTGGGCATGAGTACCTAAACCTAAACAGGGTATACCTCAACCCTCACAGTCAGCTACACATCCAATTGCATATACGCACCCTAACCGTCGACACTGAGACTCAAGCTCATGACACGGTATCATAAAAATATATCTAAACTCCGTTCCTAACCATCCACAAGGAATCCAATAAGTCATTCGGCGTATTCAACAGTACCGACTTATATATATAAGGAGGATTATATTTAATAACCCGTGCCCTTATTCCAAAATAGATAGAACTTAGCAATTTGAGCTAATCCAAACCTAGTATGACACCGTCCCATACTGGTGCATACAATTCCATCCATCCAACAATTGATAAGGCATTGACAATTAAATAATAATATCAACAATTCCATACTAAGCATTTTAGAATACATTATCAAATATGCTTTAATCAATCCAGCAGTTGATGGAGCATTGAAAAAATAAATATCAATTTCAACCATTCCATGATAAGCATGAAAACATAATAAATATAATATTTACATGCTTATATAATACCGTTACACAGAAGCCATCTCGTAGAACACATCATAGGAACTAATACTTGACCCCGTGAAACTGTGCTTGTAAATCCAAAATTTACTTCCCAGTATTCTTAATTAACAGAGCCTAAACAGATTTTGTCTCGTTTAATTCCATAACATGCAACTGAAATATCAATAAATTCTCATACGTATAAATTTCTGCTCAACAGATTAATGCACTGCATTCTAGGAATTTAACTCCCACTTAAGCCTAAGATGACCTAGATTCCTAGCATCTATTTCTATTCTTTGAATATGAAATTTGCAGTGAACCCCTCACAAAAACTCCTAAAACAATTACGAACTACACTGTCCAAAACCAAACAAGTCTACAAGGCACACAAAAATTCTATACAGTTTTAATGATTAAACTAGGCATTTAAATCTGTATTATTCAAACCCTGGGAACTTTAACCCCACTCCAGACCACTGTTAAACCACCCATTACAGTATTTAGTTTCTATTAGAAAACTTAGAAATTCCATACACAAAAAGCTGTCTCACTGCAAACCAACAGAAAATGTAAAAACTGGAAAACAAAAGATGGAGCAGGCACCAAAAAACACTTGGAGCCGCGTCCAAGTCCAAAGGAGCTGGCTCCAATCCCAAAAGGAGCCGGCTCTCTCCATCCTCTTCTCCGTGTTCTCTTTTCCGGCTTCGTCTACACCTCCGGCACTTCACTATGTAGGTCCCTAGAAACTGTACCTAGATCCCAGTATATTTCAATCCTTGTTTAGGTCCCTACAACACCTACTAACATGAATTTAAACCAAAAACAATGTATAGCAGTTCCAAGTTTTGACTATTAACCAATAATAAAAATTACGACACAAAGTATTAAAGCATGCAAATAGATTACGTTTTTTTTTAAACATACAATCATCCTGTAACTATTTAAGTATGCAAAGAACATGAAGCCTAAGGGAGAGAGTTAGGACAGAACTTGCCTTTGAGACTTTTGTTCAAAATCTTTACGCCGTCTTCGAAGGTTCCTGGCAATTCCTACTGACAACTTCCTCTGTTCCTCCTCTCTATTTCTACAGACGTGTTTTGGTTTTGTTTGTTTTTAAAACCCTAGGTACAACCTTATTACATCTATTTATAAGGTTACACAAAACCTAATACGAATTGAAACCCTAATGTGAAACCTAATCGGCCCATAATACCATCTAAGTGAAAAACATGTCGGCCGCTTACAACCAACCCTACTGTAACGTGAAGTTAGAAAACAGTTAACTTTGGTTAAATAATTTCATACATTAAATTACATAAAATAAACAAAATGAAATAAATAAACAAATAAAAAAAGCAACAAATAAAACAACAATGAAAACAAACAAGTTAAAATTAACTCACAATTTAGATTCAAACAAAAACACCATTAAATAAATAAAACGCAACTTAACCAATTAAATAATTGAAAAACCAATTAAAAGAATAAATTAAATACCAAGACTATCCTTTTGAAATTAGGGGTATTACAATGGACTAGATAGATATTGTGAGGTGTCTACGGTGTATCTGAGTATCGGGTCACTGTATGGATCGCAGTTAGATTAGAACTTGCTCGTGGGTCTGACCCACTCCTTTATTATTCTTTTCAGGTGTTGGACGGTTCCAGTCTCAAGCTTGATCGTGCTAAGCAGAGACTCTCATTCATTCCACTAGCAACGTAGGATTTCATTTCACGCTTTAGTCTTGGATTATTTTTATTTTCAGTTATTCAGTTTCAGTTGAAGTTTTATTTCGGGGTCCACTAGTTGGATTCCCAAGTTGTAACCTTGGAGGTTTTGGAAGGATTGGATTATTAATATTTTCAGTTTGGAGGATTTTATATTTCTTTTGGTTCTTTATTTAAATTCTTAAATTTCTATTCTGTGTTCGCTGTAAAATACTTTAATTGTTTGATATTTCCTCGGGTTTGCCTGGACCTGATCAACCTGTGTCTCGGATCTGAGGTGTATCACAGTTGGTATCAGAGAACTCCAGGTTCAAGTGTCTCTAGGACGTTTCGTATTAAGACTTCTGCGTAGCGTTTTCTTTTGAATAGAGCTTATGTTTAGGATTCAGTTGAATTCTTTTACGGTTCGTTTAAACTCGTACTGATGTCTGTCTTTCTATGTTAACAACGTGGTTAACACTGGAAGGGGACAGAACATGAACAGTCGACAGAGGATAGCGGCACGTAGACAGCAGGAACGTCTACAACGTCGGCAAATGGAGGAAGAGCAGCAAATGCCAGGGTTTCAGGAGGAGCAGGAGGAAGTTCAACAGGCTCAAGGTCGGGTCAGAGATCCAGAGATTCCTCCACACCTTAATGACCTTGTTGCTCGGGCTATAGAGGTTGGGGTAACAGCTGCACTCTGGAACCAACCACAGGTTCAGCAGGCACCACTACCAGTACCAGTGGTTCAGACGGATTCTTGGGGAAAGGCTAGGAGCTCTTTCATAAAGGGGAGTCCACCTGTGTTCTCAGGTTCCACCGATGAGAAAGTAGCTCACCAGTGAAAACAGGACATTGAGCGTCATCTTCATTTGGTTCAGTGCACGGAGGTGCAGAAACAGATGCTTGCTACTTTTAAGCTGGTTGGGGATGCACTACAGTGGTGGGAGTCAGTTACCACCCCAGAGGAGAGGATGACATTGACTTATGATGAGTTCAGTGCTCGCTTTAACGAGAAATATTTTCCCTATGCAGTCAGGGTAGCTATGAAGACCGAGTTTCTAAATTTGCAATAGGGGAACATGTAACGACCCTCACCCTGGCCAGACACAATACTGTCCGCTTTTGGCTCACCCAGACCAGAGACTTCCCAGGGGGTCACCCATCCTGGTATTACTCCAAGTTAAGCACGCTTAACTACAGAGTTCTGATAGGTTCACGGCCATCACGGCTTTAAAACGCGTTGTGTCATAGAAGGGTGTTGAATCTACATATAGCACTTGCCCCATCCATACCCAGACGATGTGGGATTGTGCACCTGTAGCTCGCCCAGTGTGGTAGCCTACTGGTGCCCCCTGCACACGCTCACACACACCCGCCCACAAGGTCGCCACATGGTATCAGAGCACTCCAGGTTCAAGTGTCCCTAGGGTGTCTTTCGTTATGTGAATTCCGCTTTATGTACTCGTTTCTTTAGAGCTTAAGTTTAGGATACATTGTATTCCTTTACGGTCCGTTAAAATCGTACTGATGTCTGTCGTTCTATGTTAACAGCATGGTTAACACTGGAAGAGGACAGAATCTGAACCGTCGACAGAGGAGAGCTGCACGTAGGCAGCAAGAACACCTGCAACGTCAGCAAATGGAGGAAGAGCAGCAACGACTTGAGTTTCAGGATGAGGGTCAGCTTCAGGAGGAGCAAGAGGAAGTTCAGGCTCCGGCTCAGGGCAGGGATCCAGAGTATCCTCCTCACATCAATGACCTCATTGCTCGGGCTATAGAAGCTGGGGTAGCAGCTGTACTTCGGAATCAGCCTCAGGTACAGCCGGCACCGTTACCAGCACCGGTTGTTCAGACTGATACTTGGGAGAAGGCCAGGAGTTCCTTCACAAAAGGGAGTCCACCTGAGTTCACGGGCTCCACGGATGCGAGAGCAGCTCACCAGTGGAAACAGGACATTGAGCGACATCTTCGCTTGGGTCAGTGCACGGAGGTTCAGAAGCAGATGCTTGCTACCTTCAAGCTAGTTGGGGATGCACTGCAGTGGTGGGAGTCAGTTACCACCATAGAGGAGAGGATGGCATTGACTTATGATGAGTTCAGTGCACGCTTTGAAGAAAAGTATTTCCCTTATGCAGTTAGGGCAGCCATGAAGACTGAATTTCTTAATCTGCAGCAAGGGAACATGACAGTGGCGGAGTATGAACAACAGTTCACACGCTTATCTCTCTTTGCACCGGAGGAGGTGGATACAGAGGAGAAGAAGCGCAACAGTTTTGTCAAGGGACTGATGTGGTCTATCAAGAGAGCTATTACTGGTAGTCCAGCCTACACTACTTATGCTCAAGTGGTGGACGCAGCTTTGCAGCTTTATCAACTGAATGAGGATTTCAGACAGACTAGGGCTGAGAAGCGGGGTGGCAAAGATTTTGCTAATCAGCCAGCTGCGAAAGTGAATGATAATGGGAACCGACAGAATGACAAGGGCAGATTCCAGGGCCAGCAGCCTTGGAAGAAGCACAAGGGTAATTCAGAAGTTCAGAGAGAGGGAGTTTCCACTCAGCAGACTGGAGCACCTCAGACTGGACTGGGACAGCTACAGGGTAATCACCAGGAGGGGCAGTCAAGTATATTTAGGGGTCATTGCTATAAGTGTGGAGATTATGGGCATTCAGCCAAACGGTGTCCTGGGTTGGCTCAGAAACAGCATGGGCAACAGGGACAGTGGCAACCATTACCTACTCCACAGATTCCACGTGTGCAGGCTCAGACATTTTCGGCCTTACCAGCACCACCGCCACCACAGGGACAGCCTATACAGCAGTTGCATCAGGGTATGGTGTACAATGCCACACCTTGCAATGCATGGGTACCTCAGAAGAATTGAGGTATGTTTTTTTTTATTTCAAGGTAGATGTAGAAATGACTTAGTAGATATAAGTGCATTATGTTCATTAGTATCTGGATAGTTTTGGCTTATGATGGTGATATATATTTATACATATATATACAAATCATTGACTGTTAGTATATTACACCACTAAGTGTTTAAGTAATTTACACAATTGTGAGCATTTTATTATAGATATTTACATATTAAATATCTTACATGGCAAACAGTGGAATAAGGGAAAATGAAAGTTTGGGACAAATAATCAAAATTTCATTTCATGGATTCGTGAATTCCGAGGATGAAATTCCTTTTATTAGGGGGGAAGAATGTAATACCCCGATATTGTAAAAAGGATTTCTTAATTAAATTAATTTATATTATATTATTATTATTATTTTTAAGTGATTTGTTTTATTTAATTAGGTGCTTGATAGTTGTGATTTATTTTATTTAATTAAGTGCGTAGGTAAATTGTATTGTTTTAATTAAATTATATATTTTGTAATTTTATTTGTTAAATTTATACGGTGTTTGATTTGTGGAATGCTAGTTAGTGAAGTGTTTATTTGATTTGCGTGATTTTGTGTTGGTGTACCTTTATTGTTAATTATTGGTAGCTATTAAATTTAATTTCATTATTTTAGGTATTTAAGTTATTTGTATTGGGATTAAAGGAAGTTGGACCAACGGATGTGGTATTGGGCTTGAAGGAAGCCTTGTTGGGTTAATTGGTAAAGGCCCGTGGTTGTAAGGATATTTAATAATTATCTTTGCATAATTATACCTATATAATTACATGTGTATATTAATTCATTATTAAATCATGTGGAGGGGTATATATGTCAATATAATTATATATTGATATATATAGGTATATATAATTTATTTAACTAATGGTTATATATGGAAGGTAATATATATATGTTTATAGTAAAATATATGTATGTATATATATTATTTAAAAGATAAATATTATTTATTTTATATGATAATCCTAATGGGAAAAGGATTTAGTTTTTGTATGTATATAAATAGACACATAAGACTCTAGGGTTAGGAGTTTTTCCACGTTAGAAAAATAAGAGAATTAGAGAGAGAAGAAGAAGGGCTAACGAAGAGGAGGCCGGATCAAAGAACGTAAGAGGAGACCGGATTTGGAAAAGAAAAGGCGAGTTCCTCTCTACTTCTCCTCTTAGAACTCATAAACTTATCACCTTGATTATCGAAATTATAATTTTATTTTATTAAATTAAATTATTATTCAGATTGGAGGAGCATATTTATTCTTTACAAAATTATAGAATTAAACATGTGAATATATGTATGCATTGTTTTGATAATTTAGATCATGTAGGTGAGGTTAGGTTAATTAAATTTTATTTTTCTAAAATTTTTATATTTTGCATTAACCTTGTGTAGCACGATTAATTAAATTAAATGGATTTTAATTTAATTGTATATGTTCATTTATGCCCAAAATAATAAATAGAGCTTTTGGGATTTTTCTGAGATTTTCTGAACAATTTCTGAAATTAATTTATATTTTTAATGTTAATTTAGAAATTGTTATATATATATATATATATATATATATATATATATATATATATATGTTAAATTGTTTAACAAACACACTGGAGGCGGCTAGTATTTGCGCATCAATAGGATTTTTATCCAGTGTGGTCGCGTACGTAGGAAAAGGGTGCACTCGTTGATCTAGGCCATAGGATTAATTTTATTTAGTTGGATTGATCTGGTGTGATGCGGTCCATTGTAAGTTGATACACATGCGGCATCAATGGTTAGATGTAGTTGATTAAGGGAGAGGATCCAGTGCATCGCGGCTTACCAAGAGCACCAAACAACAACCAATTAGGAGCTGCCAACACGCGCCGAGAGTGGCTCAGGCGCGTGAGGGCGCGTGCATGTGCGTGGACGCGCCTGCCGGTAAGGGGAAGCGCGTGGAGGCGCGTGGGAGTAGTCTAGGGCTATGTGGCGGCGCGTGAAGGCGCGTGGGGATGCGTGTGAGGTCCTGGAAAGTTGCTTGAGACTCCGGTGAAGTTCCAGTATTTATCTTAAGCTTGTTAGGGTTAAAATTAATCATTAGAGGGTGTGTTCTTGATATTTTGAGAGCCTCAGAGTGTTACTAAGATACCTAGTAGCATTTAGTGGTATAAATATAATTAATTAAATATTTTTGCAATGAAAGGAGGTGTATATATGTGTATATATATGTAGATATGATTTTAAATAGTCAACGATTGGTATGGAATGTATGATACACACATATATATATATTACAAAATATATGTGTATATATATATTATTTAAGATTATTAAATATTATAAATCTTGTTTGGTATGACTTGATTCGTGTATGGTATGGTTGATTTAAAATCGTAATAGATACACGGTTATTAAATTAAGGACATGCTTATTATATGCATGTGAAGTCTATGTATAATTATACCTAGAGTTAAGTTTAAAATTAATACATGGTTGAATTGTAGGCATGGATGAGTTGCCGAAGGCTTTGATATACTGCCTTATTGGTTATGAATAAATTTCATATATGGGAAGCATGGTTGAATTGCTAATTAATTGTAAAAGTAAATATATTGAAGGAAGCATGGTTGAATTGCTAGTATATAAATAAATATATTTATAAATGGTATGGTTGACTTGCCGGTGCATATTTAAATTGCTATATGTGTAGATGACTAAATTACTGTTTAGGATGGAGTTAAGGTGAGTGGGGTTTACTTTATGAGAAAATTATAAAAGGGGGGGCTTGGTCTAGGTATGACTAATAATTAATTATTGGTGAGTGGTTTTGACAATTTAATGCCCTATTAACTGGTAGGATTCTTGCACTATATATATAAGTATTTATATATATTTGTAGCATCGTATATTAAAGTTAAAGCTTAATTAGGGATGGTTTTGGTAAAGATGATCTGTTTATTGGTTTTCAGAGGCTTGGTTGAGAGAACTTGCTCGTAGGGTTTAACCCGCGATTTATTTTTCAGGTTGTAGAAGGTCAAGTCTCAAGGTTGAGGATCCGCAGCTGGAGGACTTATCCATTCCTTCTATTTACTTAAAAGTAGGATATTAGTTTTGTTTCAGTTGATATTAGTACTTAATTGATTGAAATTCTAAATAGTAACTTTTGGTTAAGGGGTCCTTGAGTTACGGGATTCCCGAGTTGTAACCATTTGGAAGTTATTAATGGATTTACTCTTAATTGGATTTCTTCAGCGTTTTATTTTATTCTTTATTTCATTTTATAATCCGTGCTTGTTTAAATACTTTAATTGGTTTGATATCCCCTGATTTTGTGCGCGGACTTGATCAACCCGTGTTCCGAAATTAGGGGGTATTACAGAACATGACAGTGGCGGAGTATGAGTAGCAGTTCACGCACTTGTCACTTTTTGCTCCGGAGAAGATGGATATAGAGGAAAAGAAGCGGAATAGTTTCGTCAAAGGACTGATGAGGTCTATTAAGTGAGCTATCACAGGGAGTCCAGCTTATACTACATATGCTCAGGTGGTAGACGCCGTTCTACAGCAGTATCAGTTGACCGTGGACATCAGACAGGCTCGTGGTGAGAAGCGGGGTGATAGAGACTCTACTAATCAGTCAGCTGAAAAGGGGAACGGCAATAGTCACCGACAGAATGACAAGGGCAAGTTCCAGGGACAACAGCCTTGGAAGAAGCACAAGGGTGGTTCAGATGCTCACAGAAATGGGGCACCTATTCAGGGGTAGCCAAATGCGGGACCACATGCAAGACAGGGTCAGCCACCGGTTAATCGACGGAAGAGGCCATTTGGTACTTTCCAGGGTAGTTGCTACACTTGTGGAGAGTATGGCCATACCTTGAGGTAGTGCCCTAAAGTAGGACAGGGACAGAGACAGTATGTGCAGCAGGGACAGATGGCGCCAGTACCTTTAGCAGCTCCACAGGTTCCACGGATTCAGGGATAGACACATCTGGCTTTACCGGCACCGTTGCAGTCACAGACTCAGGGACAGGCACCACAGCAGTTACACTATGGCAGGATGTATAACCCCATGCCGCAGGATGTTCAGGCACCTCAGGCTGTTGAGGGTAAGTTTCCTATTCATGATTTGTATGGACGTGTTTTATTTGATACGGGTGCTACACACTCATTTGTAGCTAGGACTTTTATTGTTTTATCTGGGATGAGAATGAGGGTATGCAGTAGACCTTAGGGTATTTTTACACCATTGGGCGATACAACTATTATACATGAGAGTGGTGGGCCTGTGACACTAGATATTGGCAGACTCAAATTTCTAGCCAACCTATTGGTCCTGGACATGCACACTTATGATGTAATACTTGGGATGGATTGGTTGTCTCACTACCATGCCCAAGTTAATTGCTTTGATAGGTCTATTGTGTTTACCATACCTGGTCAGGACATGTATGTCGTCGCTATGCCACGTTCTAGCGGGGTCGGTAGCACCTATTTGTTCTATGTGGAGGAGGAAACGGAGGAGTGGACTATTGTATCATTGGATAACATACCAGTTGTATAGGATTTCCCGGATGTATTTCAAGAGATCTTAGGGTTGCAACCTAGTTGCGAGATCGATTTTGTGATAGACTTAGCTCCAGTCACTGCGCCTATTGCTAGGGCACCCTATAGGATGGCACCAGTGGAGATGAGAGAGCTGATGGATCAGATTCAGCAGTTACTCAGCCAGGGTTTTATTCGTAGGAGAACATCACCTTGGGGAGCACCGGTTCTATTTGTGAAGAAGAAGGATGGTTCGTTTCGCCTGTGTATAGATTACAGGGAGTTGAACAAGGTTACTATTCGTAACAAGTACCCTCTACCCAGGATCGATGATTTGTTTAATCAGTTATGGGGAGCCACATACTTCTTGAAGATTGATCTGCGTTCTGGGTATCATCAACTGAGGGTTAAGGAGTAGGATGTTCCTAAGACAGCGTTTCTCACGAGATATGGTTCTTATGAGTTTCGTGTCATGCCGTTTGGGACGACTAATGCACCTGTAGTGTTCATGGATTTAATGAACAGAGTCTTTCAGGCTTATTTGGATCAGTTTGTCATTGTCTTTATTAATGATATCTTGATCTATTATAGGTCTGAGGATGACCATGCTAGACATCTTCGCATAATCTTACAGAAGCTTCGTGAGCACCAGTTATATGCCAAGTTCGAGAAGTGTGAATTTTGGTAGCGGGAAGTGAAGTGTCTGAGTCACGTGGTGTCAGAAAGGGGGATAGCGGTTGATCCAACCAAGGTTTCAGCTGTGGTAGAGTGGGGATAGCCTACTTCAACTACCGAGATTCGGAGTTTTCTCAGTTTGGCAGGATATTATCGTTGGTTCATCCAAGGGTTCTCCAAGATAGCAGGACCACTCGCTCATTTAACCAAGAAGGGTGTACAGTTCGTGTGGGATGAGCACTGTCAGCGAGCTTTTAATGAGCTGAAAAGGAAGTTGACTTCTGCACCGGTTCTAGCTACTCCACAAAGCGAGATAGAGTATCTTGTCTACACGGATGCTTCGTTGCATGGTCTTGGATGTGTTTTCATGCAGGAGAAGTGATCAATTTCTTATGAATCTCGGAAGCTTAAGCCTCATGAGCTTAATTATCCAACGCATGATTTGGAGTTGGCAGATGTGGTCTTTGCCTTACGTATTTGGAGGCATTATCTATTGGTTGAGTCCTTCAGGTTATTTAGTGATCACAAGAGTCTGCAATACTTGTTCACTCAGCGGGAGCTGAATATGAGACAGCGCAGGTGGTTGGAGTTTGTGAAAGACTATCATTTTTCTATACAGTACAATCCAGGGAAAGCGAATGTGGTGGCGGATGCACTCAGTCGCCGACCTGTTGGTAATCTTTCTGCTCTATTCACTACTGAGTGGGATGCGTTGAAGAAGGTGGATGAATTGTCGGATGCATTCATGGCTTGCATGGTAGTTACACCTTCTATCATTCACAAGGTTTTGAAGGCACAACTTGCGGATCAGCAGTGCATTGACAAAGTTGCAGTGATAGCTTCCGGCGAGGTTCTATTTTACTATGTTGGGGCTGATGGAGGTTTGAGATACAAGGGACGGTTAGTGGTACCTTTTGCTGATGATTTGAGGAAGGATGTGATGACTGAGACTCACCACTCTGAGTTCTCTGTTCATCCAGGAGGTGATAAGATGTATCAGGATATGAAGCGGCAGTTTTGGTGGGCAGGTATGAAGAGGGACATTGCACTTTTTGTTTTTCAGTGTAGTACTTGTCAGATGGTTAAGATTGATCATCAGAGTTCGTCAGGAGCTCTACAGCCACTACCGATTCCGGAGTGGAAATGGGAGAGCATATCTATGGATTTTGTGAAGGGATTGCCGAATTCTTTCAAGGGTCATAACTCCATTTGGGTCATTGTGGATAGGTTAACCAAATCAGTGCATTTCTTACCTATTGGTACTAACTACACCTCGGAGCAGTTGGCAAGGCTTTACATTTTAGAGATTGTGAAGCTGCATGTCATTCCATTGTCTATTATATCAGACAGGGATTCGAGCTTTATGTCTGGTTTTTGGAAGAGTTTTCAGCAGGCTTTGGGTACGGAATTGCACCTTTGCACTGCCTATCATCCTCAGACTGATGGACAGACTGATAGGGTTAATCAGATCATGGAAGACATGCTACGGTCATGTGTTCTTGACTTCAAGGGACACTGGGAGGATTATCTGCCACTTGTGGAGTTTGCTTATAACAATAGTTTCCAGAAGACTATTGGGATGGCACCTTTTAAGGCGTTATACGGCCGACCGTGTCGATCGCCCGTTTGTTGGATGGAGGTTGGCAAGAGCAGATTCTTGGGTCCTGAGTTCATCAAGGATACTTCTGAGAAGATAGCTCTTATTCGAGATCGTATGCGTACTGCCCAAAGTAAGCAGAAGAGCAATGCTGATCGTCGTACTCGGGCATTGGAGTTTCAGGTTGGGGATCAGGTTCTACTCAAAGTGTCTCCTATGAAAGGTGTTATGCACTTTGGGAAGAAAGCGAAGTTGTCTTCGCGGTTTGTCGGTCCATTCATGATTACGGATCGAGTTAGAGCTGTTGCTTATCGGTTGGCACTGCCGAATAATTTGGACCACGTACACAACATATTCCATGTGTCCATGTTGTGGAAATTTCTGCGAGATGAGGATCGATATCAGTATATCGATGTTAGGGAGATTGAGTTGCAGCCGGATACAATTTATCTGGACCCACCGTGTCGTATTGTCGATTGTCAGGATCAGATCCTTTGTAATAAGGTGATTCCTTTGGTGCGTGTTCAGTGGAGTCATCACAATGAGGCTGAGTCCACTTGGGAACGAGAGGATATCACTCGCTCGCAGTTTCCTGGAATATTGGAAGAAGGTAAGAGCGAATTCCGATGACGGAATTCCTTTTGTTAGGGGGGAAGAATGGAATACCCCTAATTTCAAAAGGATAGTCTTGGTATTTAATTTATTGTTTAAATTGCATTTTATTTGTTTAATTGATTTAATTGCATTTTTATTTAATTAATTGTTTAAGTGTGTGTATTATTTGTTTTGTTTTCATTAGTTGATTTATTTGAAATTTATTTGCTTGTTGTTTGAATGAATTGGCATTTTGATTATATTTGTTTGTTAATTAATTGTATTGTTAATTAATTGTTTTATTGAATTTAATTAAATTAATTTTTATCGTAGGGTTTTATTTCTTTTAGGGTTTCACGTATTTGGCTGAGGTAGAGAATAACATTAATTGTGTTTCCTTCTCGGATAGAAATTTTGGATTAGGGTTTTAGTTTAAAACCTATAAATATATCATTAAGACGACTTAGGGTTTTAAAAAGTCTTTATACCACTCATATTCACGTATCAAAGACACCGAAAGAAACACAGAGAGAAAACAGAGACGTGAGAGAAACAGAGCAAGGCTTGAGGAGAAATTTTAGAGAGGAACAAGGAGGTTGATTGAGGTTAGATTCGGAGCAATAGAAGGTTTATCGGTGTTCAGTAGTTGCCAGAAATTTAGAGACGAGTTCATAACTGAAATCACAGGCAAGTTCTTCTCTTTCTCCTTTTCTTTGACTCGTG